AAAAAAATGATAGGTCACCATACTCGTTTGCGAGAAAATGACGATTTACCTCCATGGCGAGGTCCAGCTGTAAACAAAAAGCCGCCCTTTTTTAATGCGCGCTCTAATCACGCGTGTAGGGATGCGCAATGCAATACTGGGGAATGACCTTAAATGAGCTAAAACTGAAGATGCATTTATGAGTATTCAGGTCGCCTGAAAAGTATTGATTACGTTCTATAATCAAAACTACCAACTTAGGAGTGCTTAATTGGCTATCTGACTTGCCGACTGAGTGCGATGGATCGTCAACCGACAATGAACGAATGAAAGAAGGAGTGCACGGACGAACAATCGAACGACTAACTAGCTGATCGACCGATCGACCAAATGATCAACTGCCAAGCTGACAAACGGGCGGAATGACTTTTTGCCTTACTGACCAACCCCTAACCCACTATCACCGATTACCATCAACACCCGCACCTGCTTACTGACTTGGTAAATGACTAACTCTCTGAATGATTAATTGACTGACTGAATAACTGAATTACTATCTGACTGATTGACTGACTGACTGTCTGACTAACTGACTGACTAACCGACCGACCGACTGAATGAACGAACGAACGAACGAGCGAACGAACGAATGAATGAATGAATGAATGGATTGGCTGACTGACTGACCGACTGACTGACTGACTGACCGAATGAATGAATGGATTGGCTGACTGTCTGACTGTCTGACTGACTGACTGACTGACTGACTGACTAAATGAATGAATGAATGAATGAATGAATGAATGAATGAATGAATTGACTGACTGACTGGCTGACCGACAGACTGACAGACAGACTGACTGACTGACTGAATGAATGATTAACTGAATGACTGATTCAGAACGGAATAAATGAATGACCCACCAGTCACATACCACTAAAACTAACAAATCCTTGTCTACGACTTAAAATTTATTATTATTATTTTTTTTTAAATCTCTTTATTTGCAGGCTAGTATCAACGTAAAGAGTGGAGATTCTGCGGTTCCGACTGTCTACCAATCCCTCTCGGCCACACGCTTTCTTCGAATACAGCCCAGATCTTGGTATAAAGAAAGTACCCTTCGAATCGAGGTTTACGGCTGTCTTCTTTCAGCAGCACAGACCCAAGGTCTTGTTCTAGGTTTTGTTTGGAATCTAACCCCTAGTTTCTGTATAATTCGTTTCAATTGTTTTTTTTTTTTTTTGGTTTAGTCTAACAAGTCCTAGAAACATTTTCTATTTATGCCGGGAAAGTAACTTCAACGAAAGTCTTTTTTCTTTCATCTTAAATTGATTGTCAGTTTTTAATTTTTGATTAACATCCAAAAATATACCCTTTGCTGCCAAAACCATGCTGAACTCGTTTAAAAACGAAGAGGCGCCAAACGTCCATGAAAGTGAAGAAGCTTAACCCTGATAGTAACGGCGATTACATCCCCTTCTCTTTTGGTAGTTTTGTAACATCCCAACAAAGTACACGTAGGTACGAAAAGTAGTAAGAAGCAAGGTCAAGAGATTCATTTCCCTGCATGTGCGAGTAATGTAAACTGCAAACTCTAGACACCTAAGTTCTATATAGTGAAACCCTATTTCTTTCTTAATTCAGACGAATTTCCTCCTCTTGGAGTGGAAAAAGAACTCGTTTCCGATGCCCAAATGTCGGCCTCGTCCACTTCTGATTCAGTGAAGGCGAGTGCTAGCAATGGTCGCCTAAACTTTAACAACGCT